AACTAGATGATCTTTAAGGTCCCTTCCAACTCAAACCATACTATGGTTCCATGGTTCTGTGGTTATGGGAGGGATCAGGGATTACAGCCCCAAGATGAAGAAGCAAATATGACATCCAGAGCTAAACCCACTGACCAAGTGCCTCATAAAAGGCACCCTGGGAGGTTGGTGCTGCTACCTACCGAGACCTTGAGCGAGGTGGGCCAGCCATCATCCAGCATGGGGCCATCCTCGAGATGCTCCAGCTCATAGTCGATGGAGAATGTCACCGGCTTCACATAGTCAGCTGTGTCCTGGGGTGGACAGAAAGCATCACTGAGGAGGACAAGGCTCCTGCTCGTGGAGGGGCAGCATCAGGGAGCAAGGTGAGGCAGAGCTACAGGCACGGGTGATGAAAGGAAAGCTTTGTAGTCTTGGTGTGCAACCACCCTGTCTCTTCAGCCAGCCCTTACCCAGGGACAGGGACAACTGGAGCTCAGCAGTGCTGCTCAACAGCCACCCCCACGTACAGCTCTGATGAGGCTGGAAGGGTTTCACCCTGGAGATGCTGGCTCTGAAAGGTGGATGCTCCATGAGGGGTTGTCCCCAGGGAGGACAGAGCTATCCAGCAGCCCTTACCCAGGGCTTGGCCAGCCCGTGATGAAGGTGCACCTTTCCTAGGAGCTCCTCCCCTGCCTCTGCCTTCTCGGGGTAAATCACCAGCTCCATCTCGAGCTCCAGGCTCAAATTTCCCAGAAGTTCATGGAGGTTCAGGCTGGGGCTGGGGGCTGGGCCAGTCTGGCAGCTTGGCCTTCCCTGGCCTCTGCAACATCCTCCTCTCTCACGGGGAACGTTTGATTTTGGCCAGGTTTGTGCATCAGCTGAGGGTTCCTCTGGCTCCTGCACCAGGGAGGAGGACCCGGATGGGCAGAGGGTTCAGAGGGTGATGGGACAGCCACGGAGGCATTTGGTTCTCAGTGGAGACAAAGAGTTTTCCCTGACTTTGGAGCAGGACCAGCCCGAATTGGGCGTCAGGAGCGCACGCCCTCCGCGAGGGCACGGCGAGCAGCTCGTGGAGAGGAGCACAGTGCAAGCTGGGACTGCAGCGAGGTCACTGCTCGGGGACCCAGCAGCTCCATCCCTGACCACACCAAACCCACCACAAAGAAACCCAGGCGTGGGGACGGGGCCCTTTTCCAGCCCCGTGAAAGCATCGAGGCTCCTCTGACCACGTCCTTCTGCACGAGGTGGGGAACATCACCCCCCGGGCTGGCAGAGGAGGACACCCCAGCCTCATCCTCCTTCCCACTCACCAGGACGTGGAAGTGGAGCCTGTCGCAGTGCTCCTGGCCGGCCAGCAGCACCAGCCCCCTCTGTGTGTGTCTCTCAGCACTCTGGTCCAGGTGGGCCCGTGGCGTGTACCTGCGCTCGTCGATGCTCACCTCGTACTGCAGCCCTGCGGGCAGAGCAGCCCCGTGAGGGCTCCTCCCTGCACACCAGCACCAGGGCAGACCTGGCACTGGGTGCACTCCAGCTCAGGGAATCGTGGAACTGAGCAGGTTGGAAGAGACCTTGGAGATCATCAAGGCCAACAACCAACCCAGCAGTGCCAGGTCCCCGCTGACCCAAGTCCCTCACACCACATCTCCACGGCTTGGAAACCCCTCCAGGGTTGGAGACTCCTCCACAACCATTCCACGATTCCACGAACCTCCCTTCCTCTTCCCTAATTCAACAGTTCCAAGTGAATCAATCCCATACACGTTTCATCACCTTGAGGCCCTTTCCTCTTGTCCTGTCCCTTGTTCCCTGGGAGCAGAGCCCGACCCCCCCCTGGCTCCAGGCTCCTGTCAGGAGCTGTGCAGAGCCAGAAGGTCTCCCCTGAGCCTCCTTTGCTCCAGGCTCAGCACCCCCAGCTCCCTCAGCTGCTCCTCCCCACACTTGGGCTCTAGACCCTTCCCCAGCATTTTCGTTACTCTTCTCTGGCCACGCTCCAGCCCCTCAAGTCCTTGTTGTCCTGAGGGGGCCAAAACTGACCCCAGGATTTGAGGTGGAAGGAAAATTTGGAAATATCAGATTATAGATAGTCTTGCCTGTTTCTAACAGACAGTTCTTCTAAGCAAAACCCTCCAGGTCAAACGAAGAACTTTAAAATGCCTTAGGACAGGATGCTCAGTGAGATCTGTAATTATTTGCCCCATACAATCATGTGTGTGCCTGCACCACTTCTGGAGGTCCTTGGGGTCACAGCACCATGCAAGGGTTTCACAGCAGAGCTGGTGAGAATCCCCAGGACACGGGGGAAATACACACATGTGGTTGGCAGATGTGTCCTGCCCCTGCAGTGGGGAGGGTGGAGATGGTGGTGGTGACATCCCCATCACATGTCCCACGGCAGGACAGGCTGTGGGAGATCTTGGCCCCAGGGTATAGGTGAGAGAAGGGGTTAAACATGGGGAAGGTTGTATCCTTGGGGAGGTGTTTCTTGGCACTGCTCAACAGGTCCCTGCTCCACCAGCCAGGAGAGGGACAAATTTATGGATAAAAAGGGACGTGGCGAGGGGCAATCTCACCCCTCCAGACACACCAAGCTCCTGGCTGGTTTGCCTTGGCAGAAGCTTGGTGCCCCTTTGGGCCTGGAGACCTAAACCACACCCAAATTGGGGCTTTTTGCTGGGCTCACCCACGCTGGCTGCCCGGAAGTGAGGCGAGAGGAAGACGGCGGTGAAGCAGACGAAGGCTGACATGCAGGTGGCATCCTTGCCGTTCCTCTTGCAGTCCTTGGTGAAGATGTTGATTTTGGAGGGCTCGAAGCGGAGGCTGGCGTTGATCTGGACCACGCTGCGGGACCTGTGGGGCAACAGAGGGTCAGGGGGTGTCCTGCTGCATGGGGGGCCCTCTGCCTCTGCAGCACCCTTCAGAAGTCTCCCCACCCCTCTTTTTCTCAACGTTGAGAAGGTGCTGAGGGTGACCCAAGGCCACCACAGCATGCTCCTCTACTCTCTGCTCATCCACGGGGCATCTGAAGAAGAAAATCTCTTGCCCATCTTTGCTTCTTGCCAGTGAAGTAGCTCAGCATCCAGTGCAGGATTTGGCCCCTCGTGTGCACAAAGAACTTTCCCATCTCTTCTGGGCACCCTCCATCCCAACAGCTTCAAGGGACTTTCCAAACATTAACAGTTCAGTATTTGCAAATATGGGTTGTTATCAACTAAGACCAGAGGGAGTCTGGGAAAACCACCACAAACCAATCAGCTGGTTTGCAAATCCTGGGCAACTAAGGATGAAATCCCATCCCAAACCAACTCCAGCATCCTTCTAGGGCCCAACAGCTTTCACATCCCATGGTCCTGCCAGACAGGGGGTCGTGCTTGTGGAAGGATGGGTCAGATGGTTGGGAGATCAGTTTTTCCCTCAAGAAAAAGCCAGCAGAGAGCCACGAGCTGTGGGCAGAGGACATGCCAAAGGGGCTGGAACTCACCACAGCAGCACGGCGTTCCCCAGAGAGCCCACGGCCAGGTCCACGAGCCCATCTTCATTCAGGTCCAGCTGTCCATGGATGCTGCATCCAAAATACCTCAGGCCCGGCGCGAGGTCGGCAGCTGCTATCCTCTGGAAAGCAAAGGGGACAACCCAGGCTGGATTGTCCAGTTCCAGCAGGAACGTCCCTCCTGGGAAGGGGGGTTTGACACACTGACCCACACCACGCTGCTGAAGAGGTGGTGGTGCCATCCCTTCCCAACTGAGGGCACCTGAGAATTTTTCAGCTGGTTTCTCTCTGGAGACACCATCCAGATATTTCTGCTGAAATTTCCCTCTCTGTTTACTACTTTTCATATTTTAGCTAAACCTCAGGTATGTTTTCTATATCATAGAGTCATTTAGGTTGGAAAAGACCTACAACATCATCAAGTTCTACCATGAACCGAACTCTGCTAAGTCCACTGCAAAACCATGTCCCTCAGCACCACATCTACAGGACCTTTAACCACATCCAAGGATCGTGATTCAGTAATTGCTCTGGGCAGCCTGGCACAGCCCTGGGCAACCCCTGCACAGGAGAAATTTTTCCTCAGGGACAACCTCAACCTCTCCTGGGGCAACTGGAGGCTGTTTCCCCTTGTCCTGTCCCTTGTCCCTTGGGAGCAGAGCCCGACCCCCCCTGGCTCCAGGCTCCTGTCAGGAGCTGTGCAGAGCCAGAAGGTCTCCCCTGAGCCTCCTTTGCTCCAGGCTCAGCACCCCCAGCTCCCTCAGCTGCTCCTCCTCACACTTGGGGTCTAGACCCTTCATCAGCTTCATTGCCCTTCTCTGGGCCCAATGTTTGCTTAAAAAGAGGGAGATTAAGACTAGAGAGAAGGATGAAATTGTTGACCCTGAGGGTGGTGAGCCCCTGTCCCAGGCTGCCCAGAGAGGTGGTCGCTGCCCCATCCCTGGAACCATCCCAGATGAGGTTGGATGGGGCTCTGAGCACCCTGCTCTAGCTGCAGATGTCCCTGCTTCCTGCAGAGGGTTGGACTGGGTGACCTTGAAAGATCCCTTCCCACCAAAACCATTCTATGACTCTATGACTTAATTTCTTGTGCTCTATCCGTCCTTAAAAAGGCCACAAATGACATTTGTTCTCCTGAAGGACAACCGAAGCACTCAGGAGCCATACCTGCTTGTACTTCTTCAGGATGGTCTCTTTGAAGCCGAGGAAGATATATATTGCTCCTTGGTGCTCATCCTCCAGAGGTGCCCCCACGACCAGGTCGTTGTAGGAGTCCTGGTTGAGGTCAGGCACGGCGGCGATGCAGGAGCCGAAGCGGGAGTTCTGGTAGCTCTGCAGGTCCACCAGGGCACCGCTGGGAACGAAGCGGTTCTGCTGGGCCAGCCAAAGAGAAAAGGGGAAAAAAAATCACCCCAAAACCATCAGCAGCAAGAGAAAATCCTCAAAAGCAAGCGAAGAAGAGGCAGAGGTGTGAGAGTAACTTCTTTAAGGAAGAAGACTAAGCTGCTGTCCCTGGAGCCTGGTGGATTTGGCTCAGAACCTGTTTTGAGCCAGACCGGGGGGTGGTGGCAAAGCTGGTCCTACCCCAGAGCTCTGCTGGGCATGGCACATGTCCTGTCTGTGCCCTGAAGTGATGGTGGAAGGACCAACCATGGTGCTCCCCATGACCCCATGCCTGGCCCGGCCTCTGAGCAGGATGGTCCCCTTGGAGGGAACAGTTTTGGGGAGGTAGTGGATGGGGATGGTTTCTCCAAATCCATACTGGAAAGACCTCACCTTGCACCTCATGTATCACTTGCCCAGGGCTGAGATCATAGAACCATGGAATTGTTTTGGCTGGAAGAGACCTTGGAGATCATCAAGGCCAACCATTAACCCCAGCACTGCCAGGTTCCCACTGACCCATGTCCCTCACACCACATCTCCACGGCTTGGAAACCCCTCCAGGGGTGGGGACTCCACCACT